TGGCTGGCGATGACAGGAAATTATGGGCATAAAACTCGACTGTCATTGCCAGAAGTTCCTCCCAGTCATCCGCAGTTGGCAGGCAAGGCTTTCAGGCTTTCAGGCTTTCATCACCGAATCTTCACTGTGTCTTTTGTGTTATGTCACTCAAATCGGCGACTGCTGATTTATGCAACTTACCCAAAAGCAACGACGGCTTAAGCTCACTGCCGTTGCGTTTCGAACACTTTCAACTCAGCTGAGCTGTCCGCACTTCAATACCAACTTTTGATTGCACTGCATTAAATTGATTTCTGCTGTTTTTTAATGGCATCATGGCATCTTCGTCTTGCCAGCTTCTTATTTTTTTCGCTTTCCTCGTCGTCATCATCATCGGAATCGCCGTCTTTGGACTAGTTGTTGTTGTTTTTGTTATTAGCGCGCATGATTGGCATTTCTGCTTCTTCTGCTTCTGTTTGATTTCGTTCAGCTGGCGCGCTGCTCATCAGTTTATTTATTTACTCTGATTATTTCACATAGAAAAATACAAATAAATGCCAACTTTAGTTGTCTCCGAGGAAAATTTATGTCAGCCACTTCCGAATTTCAGCGGTACGTACAGTACAAGTCACATTATTTTGTGAGAATTACGTAATTACCTCTAAAGGTGACTTGCCACAAAACTTGCCAAAATCTTTTCGCTTTCATTTGGCTTAGAAAACAATTGCCAAAGTCTTCGAGAGCTCCATATGCATATACATAGATACGTTTTTATAGAAACGTATATGTAGCTGGGAAAATGGCTGCGAGACATTCACTTTTCTTGCCACATTTCGTGGTAAATTGATGGCATTTTTGGGCACATGCCACGATCGCTGAACAAAAAACATAGAAAAAAAAAATGGCAAAAAGCGTGGGCTGAAGATTGCCAAATACACTGCCATTGTGTTTCAATCAGTTTTCCCACTTTGTTTTATTGAAGTCCTTTCGATTGCAGTGCTCAATTAAGAATGTTTTTTGGAAAATTCAGAGCTTATATTTCAATTCGATTTTAATGATCAATGGCTTACGTTTTTCAACATATCATTACTTTTTTGAATTTGGTTGGTTGCGGTTTTACAGAAAATTCCACGCCTTGTATCTTTCCCCCAAGGGACTGTTCGTATTTTTCGATCACATCTGCGTTTTATTTCGTCGCTGCCCAAATATTCCGCAAGAACAAAAAACTCTCAAAATACTTCCACACATTTTTTTAAGATTTCTTTTTTATTTGGCGTTTCACTTGTTTTAGTTGTTGCTGTTCTTATTATGGTTGTTCTGTTCATTTTCGTGGTTGTTGCTGCTTTTGTTGTTGTTGTTGGGCGGAAGTGGCTCGTTGGCAGAGGCGCACTTTGTATTTCAATAGTATTTTTTACCCTTGTGAAAATTAAAACTTAACTGTTGTTGTTGCTCCTGCCGCTGTGCATTTTTGTTGCTGTTTTTTTTTTTTTTTTTTTTTTGACGTTGTCATTGCTTCTGTGTTGTCGTTGCCGCCTTTTATTGTTTTAATTACACGCGTTTTTCCGCGCATTGTTTCAATGACCGTCACGCGCCACAAGCCTTTTCCTCCCGTCCTTTTCCCCTTTTTTCCAAGCAGCACACCGCACAAATTGTTGTTGCCGTCGTTTGTTTGCAAAATGAAGTGGTCATATATATCTGCACCTTCGTCTCGCTCCCCTCGCACACCCACTGGCTCTCCAGCCCCACGAAGCATTCATGATAATTTCAAAATGACATAAACGCAACTCCCAGAGCATCTCGCCAGCACTTTAGGGATGGACTCACGAACAGCGAACCAAGCTACATGTGTTGCAAAGTGTAGCAAGCAGCCCTATGTATGTACATATACCTATTATTAAGCACTGCTTGATAAGCAGTTAACGTTATTGTATATTCCTTAAGTTAAGTCATCCTTTATGTCCCCCTTACTCCTTTAAGAAACACCATGTAAACCCATCTCTAAGTATGTACGTCTCTCTCTTGCACATACGAGATTGTGAAATAGGCTAAGCATTAACAGAGATGATGAAATAAAGATCACTTTTGCTGCGACCACGGCAGCGAAAAGACCCTGATTGTATCACTACAAAAGGAACCACGCGATTGCGTTACCGATACTCGCATTATCCATCGCTAAGCCAAGCCGTATTCCGTATTCCATCGCCATCGGAATCGTAATCAATGAACTGGCGGGCCGCAGTCCAGTTTGCAGTTTGCAGCTTGCAGCTTGCAGTTCACAGGCCGCGATTCACAGTTCGAGCAACCCCAAGATAAATGAAATAAATGAATGACCACCTCCCTCCTCCCTCCTCTTCCCTCCTCCCCCTTTCCCCTCTCCGTCTGTCCATGTATTTTAATGCCTTAATGAAAAATGCATTTTTAATTATTTTTTGTTCATTTACTGGCGACTTTTTGCTGGCGGTCGGTCGCCCGGTTGGCTGACATTCGTTGGCTTATGCGGCGTATGCGTTATTTATTATGCTTAATTTTCATCTCGCGGCTGCAAAGTTATGTGTCCGTTTTCCAAACGGATTAACTAACTGTTAACGCGATCCACCTTCTCGCTTTTCTTCGAGTGCATGCGATGCAGGTGGAAGCCGTTAGATTTAGCTCGAGTTTCCCTGTGGACACAGCAACAACAACAAAACTTGCCACAATGGGGAAAGCAAGCAGCATAGAGGACAAATATTGTATTTCATCATTTGTTAAAGCCAAGCCATCGATTTGCCCAAGTAGAAAAAGCGTTTACACAAAGAAAAAGTAGTACCTCAAATATATCATTAATTAATTATTTTCTCATCTCATCTGGAAAAAGTCTATTTATTTAAGCTTACAAATTTGCAAGTTTTCACGCATAATGTGAATTTTATATATTTAAATACTAGCACAACTTATTTTGCGGTGTAGAAGCTAAGGGGAAAGCAAGAGCAAGGCTTGCCATTCATTAGGATAGCATGTCATTCATTAGCTCATAGCAAGCAAACCCTTTCGGATCCAGTCACTGCACCCGGCTACCAGTTACAATTAAAGGGGGAACCAGGGGGCAACCAGGGGGGCAGCCAGGGGAGACCCTGGCGACAATGACAACAAAATACGGCGGAAGCAACGCGACGTGAATGTCATCGGGTTTCAGAGCAATTTGTTGTTGCCTTACTCAAGACGAGATAGGGTAACTGGGGAGCGACTGGCAGATGGGGACGGAGAAAGACTTCAAGTTCTGCGAAATTAACACATTGGCCACATAAAATAATATTTTACTTCACATGGTAGGTATTCAATAAGTATACCAACAGTATAAGCAACATACATATGTTTTATGCTATATGATTTCGGCATATAATAATGGGTTTTCTTCTTTTTCTCGAACCTCTAGGTCCAAAGCTATGGCATGCAACGACTTTTCGCCCTCACTGTAGATAGTTGCCCAATTGGCACAGCATGATTCAAATTACCTCTAATGCGAAGTGAATGTAATTGTGACATTGTCGTGTCAATGAAACCCATCAAATCAAAATGATAAGCAACTTGCAACATAGCAAGTTTCAACCGGGCGTATGGTATCGTCGTCGCCAGGTTTTTTTTTTAACCGTCAGCCGAACAGTGGGAGAAAATGGAAATGAAAATGAAAATGAAAGTTTCAATTACAGATGGTCCGCGCACTAGGTCGGTTGAATTTTGTTTTGTCGAACCACAGGGAAAAGCGAAAAGCTGGGGAGACACTTAATTACAGGTTTTTCCGCTTTACTAAACGCGACATGATTTTGTTTTGAAGGTGAATGACGCCTGTGACGGCTGTGCGACTTTCAGCCAACAATTTTGAAGGTAGCCATTAAGTGTGACTGTCGTGTTGATTGAAATGTACCCATTTTTCCACAGCCGAAGATTTGGGTAGTTAAAATTGTTGGGAAATTCTCGCAGGGTGACGATGATCAAGATTAAATAAAATAAAAAGTGTAATATGCTCCGAGATATCCCCCTGTTTCAGCAGAAATCACAACGACCCAAAGATTAGGCGGCAATTAGCACGACTGGTTAGCCAATCAAAGGTCATGCCGTATTGAGGCAATCAGTTTGCTAACTCATTGTGGGAATCAATCGGCTCCCCAGATTCAAGGTCGTTTGTCAAATAAACAGCCAAAGAAAATACACACGGCAATAAAGCAATAAAGGAATATGAAGAAAAAACAAAACGAATATGTAAGCAGCTTAGAGTTACCATCTTTGTTGACATTTTTGCGGGGAAACTTTGAGGGTCCCAAATGACCAAGCACTGCAGACACTTGAAATGTGAATCTTGTAGATTGGTTTCCCCTACATTTGAGTATTGCATTCGCATTCGCATTCGCATTCGCATTCTTTGCGCTAATGACAGTCGCAAATGTCTTGTGGATTGCCGCCTTCCCTGCCTTCCCTGCTGCTTTCTTGCCATCAGTGCTTCAATATTTGCCCTGAATGAGACACTGAAGTGAATTATTAGTTGTACAAACAATTGCACAGTTGGCTTTGCACAATGTCTCTCACTCGGCAAGGACTCCGGCGACAGCAGCTTGTGGCAATATTTGGTCATCGTAATGGCAGGAGACCGGGGGAATTGCTAGGTTGGATGTCTGATGATCGGAAGGCATATTTAGCAGCATTTATCTAGGAAAACCTTATAACTGTTTTTAAGTCCGACTGCACACCCTTTTATTGTAGTTATTACATGATAAGGGGTCAGCGCAGTTCAAAGCCATGACTATTTCCTCCTGTTTTCACCCTATTTTAACGCCTTATGACTTGCAGTCAGCATGGAATGGATTTCTTTAAAGGGACCAGCCAAACGAGACATCTATTTGCATGTATTTCCCCCGGGGAGAGCCTGCCTAGCTCATCAACACTCTTCGATTTCCAACTCTTCGATACCCAACTGAGCTGGCAAGCAATTTGGTTTGGGGGATGGCATGCCTTTTGTAAATGCATTTCACACTCCACTTTGCACTCACCATTTAAATTGTGGACATTGGATAGATGTCCCACGCTGGCAGCTACCGTTTTGCCTGCAAAAAAAAAAAGGAGAAGTAAGATATAGAGTTGGGTTGGAGTTATTCAGATAGATAGATCAAAAGCTTTACTGTTTTAACAACGATAAGTTTTGAAGGAATTTGAATTTGTATTTAAACCTTGTATATTTTATGATCATCAATTTGAGACCTGTCTTGCACCCTGCTCCCATTATAAAATAGTTAACCACCTTTCTTCGCCCAATTGGCTTGCCCATCACGTCGGTTTTCCTACTACTACCACAAAGAGCGAGGGTGCCAAGAATCCGAATGAGCATCTCCCTCCTACCAGAGAGAACAAAACTCCAACTCATTATTTTACATTTGTTGTTTCCGTTTTCTGGTTTATGACCCAGAAACGCAGAGCGATCGCTCTTTTCTGGACAATGTGTAAGTATCTTGGTCGCGATTCCGTCGCTCGTGAAACGTGGAAACGTGTAGTGTACGTGCGGTCATCTGTCATGATTCTCACTTGGCCCAAAAAATCGGGGAGTAATATATATAGTATAGCGGTTGCGGGCGGGGCAAAGCAGGGGGACTGAGTGCGGTTTCTGTGTTTCTGTTTTGGTCCACCGGCCAACTTAACTCGACTCAACTCCAAATCAAAACCAAGTCTAAGTCTATTGTCCATGTGCGTGAGCTTTTCGTAAATGTCAACTATTTCACATTTATTCGATTTTGGATGGCGTTTATCAAGAGATGACGAGAAAGCAGATTCTCTACGTTCAACGGGCAGCGTAAAAATAAAAGTAATGCGTCGCTGCCTTTTATGGCCTTTAATGTGATCTCAAAAGCTTTGAATTCGGAAAGAGAAAACGATGGAAAAGAAAACTGAGGGGAAGGGACAGCGAGAACCTCTAAGAGACAATGACGACGGGTTTCTTCGTCCGTCTAGACGGCGGTAATAATGACCAGACATTCGGATGAAGTGTAATAAATAAATATTTACCTGTCTTCTTCATTTTTAAAACTCATGAAAAAAAAAACCCAATAAGTTATTTAGTGAATGGGGTAGGTTAGTGACAAAATTATTACACACAACTCTTTTCCCAACTTTTCGCTTTCAAATTTAACCAATTGCCAAACATTGCTTGCAGATACAACTATGATTTTTTTTTGCCATAAACTAAAACGGAGTCTCTGGACAGCAGCAAGGGCAATATAACTTTGTTCCGCGAACGTAAAGACGTTTTGTACGACCCCTCCAATTGCCAAAATCGTAATAATTTAATGAGAAACGCAGCCACGTCGGCTGCATTTTGGTTTTAACTGGGGGGAAAGCAAAAAAAAAAAAATATAGGGGGTAATGTGCCAGTAAAAGGTATTTTAATGCTGGAATGCCTCCTTTTCCTCCCTTTTCGGAAGAAAAGTCGAAGGAGTTTCCCTCTTTGTCATGAAAAATAACTTTGCTTCGTTGAAATGACAGTCACGATTTTGCTTTTTTTCGCTCCCTTTCCTACGTTTTTCTGTGTCTTTTTTTTTTTTTTTTTGTAGCTGCTTCTGGCCACGGTGTCTTTTAAAGATTTCATTCTTTGTGGTGTTTTCCGCATCCTTTTTTGACAGTGTAGCAGACTAAATTATTAACTTCCCATGTTTCTGCAAAATTTAAGCGAAGCGTGGAAAAAGGTTTTTAAATTGCTTTATTTTGCTATTTATCCCAAAAATGACAATAAAATAGCAGCTAAATTCGATCAAGGATTAATACATTTAAATGTGTTTTTAACGAATGTTCGTTAATGGTAAATTTTTTTTTGTGACTCAAAAACTATGTTTAATTTTTTTTTTTTTTTTGTTGCCAAAGCTAGACAAGAAACTTGGTCTGTTTCCATTTGGATTTTCCTGTTCCTTCCAAATTCTTTTCAAACAATTTCCCCCCTGCCCTCAGGATACTCTTGGCAAACTGGCGCGGCTAATAAAGAATGCAAATGGAGCAAATTGCTTGGCCGAAAGGTGAAATTTCATAAATTTCGTAAAAAGGGAAACGAATGGGGAGGGGCGGATAGCGGAAAACCGTGGAAAAGCACGTGAAGAAAACTCATCGGGCGCGGAACTTTATATGAACAAAACTTGGCCAACAATCGTAAAAATTGCGCGGTGTCATTATTTAAAACGCCCCACCCACCGCCCATTCCTTTTTTAAGGGCTCCAGTTCCATTCAACCTGGCCCAGAAGCGGAGGCGCCACGCCTCTTTTAACCTACATACACTTTTATAATGTTGTTATAAAAGCGTTTACACCTAATTGCCTGAAGCAACTTTTTGTTGCTTCCTAGGATCCTAGAATCGTATTCCATTAATAGGGAAAAAATTAACTATTAGCTGTATACTAAATCCTTTCAAAATAAAATTTCTCCTCCAAAAATATATTTGAATTCAATGCTTTTTGTGTTTTTCAGCAGAGTTAAAAGTTGATGCTATTGCTAAAATTTTTAGGAGCAACTATTTGTTTTCTTTTTTTTTTTTTTAATTGAACTGGAAATCGTAACACCGAAAATCCGACTGAGAAACGGTATTTTAATGACCGAAATTTTTTAATAAAAGGTGTTATCTCTTTGCCATTTGCCCACCTTTTTCCGCTTCGAGTAATTCGAATGCTTTCCATTCAACCTTTTGTTTATGGTCAAAAATAAATTTTTTGTTACTCTCCCTTTTTTTTCTTCTTAATTTTAAGGAGCGGTGGGTCTTATGACACTTTTCAGTTGGCCCCTCCGGCACGCCGTTTGCTTTTCTTTAATGAAAAATTAAATTAATGAACGCACATTTGTGCGGCTGCTGCTGCTGTTTTCGCCTCTTTTTCATTCGCTTGTGCAAACTTCTGGCAGGCAAATTAATTTGGCAATTGCAATAAAACTTTTCGCAGCGGAAGATTTGGCCCATTATTCTCGGCTAAAAGGATAGTCTCCTTAGCACTAGTAGCCGTGTCCTGCTGCTTGTAACCAAAGCCATTAAGTAAATTGGTCAAAAGTTCGGTCCTTTTTCTTTTTGGGGCTTAACGGCGGCATTCGGTATTCGGAATTCGGGTGGAAAAGGTAAAGGTAACCCAACACCCGCCTAATTGGCTGCCAAGATTTGCTTTCCCGGCCGAAGAAGAACCTTAAGGTATATCCCCTTAAGGGGTTATATACCTTTTTGAGCGAAAAAATGAGGGAACTTTGGATTTTTTTTCAGGTGTGTAGCAATTATTTTATGATACTGAGGTTATTATTTATTGATAGTACATGTTTTTATAGAGACAACAAACGTTTGTTCTTAAAAAAATATAAATAACTTTCGAAGTTATGGCAATTCTCTCATAACCCTTTTTTTGTTATAGCGGCTTGCGGTGACCACGATGGAAGTCCAGCGGGTCAACTAAAATCAATAAACCCAAAAATTTTTATTAGTTTAGTATTATTTCTAGTTCGTCATTGAATTACTTCAAGAATATTTGGTTTTTTCTGCATACAGTAACAATTTTTTCAAAAAATTGATTTTTCGAGCTCTAAAAATTTTATTAAAAATTTCTTATCTGCAAAATGGAAATTGCCGCATAAAAACTGATTCAATGACGAACTCGGCACAATCATTACGAATATTTAAAAAAAAATTGAAGAAGATCGATCAAATAGTTCTTGTGCAATCGCGGTCACAGCAAAGGCACTTTTGGAAAAAAACGACTTTGAGATAATCGCATTCAAAGTTTTAGGTTGCGGTACAAAGAGTGACGTACCGCGCCTCAAAACGCTGTTTTCCTATCGAACTATTATTCGGATCTCTTCAAAAATTTGGGAAAATGTTCTCTAGGGGATATACTTTAGGATTCAGCTTAAAAATTTTTTCGTTTTTTTAAAAAAAAAAAAGGTATATAACCCCTTAAAGGAAAGCAGATTGAATGCCACACGGGTATGCGTTGTTGCAATGAGCAATAATTGCACTTCGACACAACCCTCAGCCCGCCCATTTGCTTTTCCCCGTTCGAATCCAGCACGGAATGAAAAGACAATGGACAATGGTCCTGCTGCGCCTCTAGTCGTCCGCACTAATAAATCCTTGTCACAATATCCCTTTGTTTTGTCATCTTTTTTCACTTGAGCTGCGCAGGGGGAGCGTCATCATCCCTTTTGAATTTAAGCAATAATTCAAAACACATTCGCTGACTGACAGGCAGACCGAAAGACTGAACGACTGAAAGACTGAAAAGGGGCTGCCAGAGATGGCTAGTAAGATGATTAAGGTCATGTCGGCACGCAAAAATCTGTAGCCACACCACGGAGATGCCATATGGCCATGCATATCTGCAGTATCATCCTCTAACTTGGTCGCCCTATTAGGTAGATTATATAAATAACTAATTATAGAAACGCCGTATTCACTTGATTCGATTTTCTAGAGGCAGGGAAATCATCAAGCTCATCAGCTCAAAAATATACGCACCCTTTTCCCTTCTCGAAACGAGCAGGTTGTTTTGTGTTTAGGCTGTGCTTTTCCCTAAATTTTCCAGCAACTAAGATGCATATAGACTGCCTCTGCAGTTCTATGCCTTTCTCTGATTCATGTGAGCTTAATTCCATTTCCATTTGCAGACAACCCAGGACACCAGGAAAAAGCGGCTGCGATGATGTTCTGGCTGAGTATTTAATGCAGGAGAATCCAGCAGCAAACATCACACCCTTTTAATCTCAAGCTATTTTTATTTTTTTCGACTTTTTACAGAGTTCCCCCGAGAAATGGGTTATACAAATTTAATTACCGAGAGAAACTGAGTAAAGTAAGGTTCAAATTAACGCGCGTATTCCTGGGGAAAAAACTTGAATTTCATTTTATACTAAAATGCAATTATATTCCTCGATAACAACTTTATTTTAATTTTATTTAGAATGCAATTATAAGCTTTTAGAGGTATAACAGACGGACAGACGTATTACGATTCAGATCGGTCTGAGGTGTCTCCTTCACAGCGTTGCAAACTGCTGACTGAAATTATAATACCCTCTGCAAGGGTATAAAGAATTAGCCGACCTTCGCCAAACTAACAAATTTTGTATCAGTTTGCTTAATAATTGAAGCACGAACGTTTAAAGATATCACACTTTGAAATCGTATCGAATGTAAATGTTATTGTGCAAGCCATCTGATGAACAAATCCAACATGAAATTAACCTTCCTTAAATAAAATGATTGGCTCGTTTTCAAATCGAATTCAAGTCGAAGCAAATTTACACGGGGATAACTACTAATTCCGTAATCACCCCAACAACTTGCTACCCCAACCTGAAGTCCTTTCCACTCCGACTAAATGTTTAGCTTTCTTGACAACTGCTTAAGTTCCCTGACCTCGAGCACTACAGCGAGGTGTGAAATTAAAAATAGTTTTTATGACACGTAAATGTGATTGTCAGTCATCTCGCCACCCCTCGTATTTCCACCGAGCGTGGGCGCCATCGAAAATGAATTTATGACAGGCCAGTTCGGAAGTATACACACAAGACATTATTCAATTGGGGTTCGGATTCAGACTCAGAAGATGAGCTGCTAGAACTGCCCTCCATATAAAACAATCTATTTTGATGCTTAAAGAAAAATATTACACTAATAATAATTTTTTTGTACACATAACGTTCAATCATTATTTTGTTTCTACGTACAAATCGAGTCTCCCCACACAATCGTAGCTGAACAGTGAGCTCACCTGGAGGCTGTTTTATCTGTGTATCCGTCAGATATATGTGACTCATAAAAGCGGCCACTTCCGCCTCCAGGGTTCAAGAAACCCAAACCCAAACCCAAAACCAGTCCCCCCCTGAGGCGCGGCCATTAAAAGAGCTTTAAACTTTTCATCTGTCCGCACTTAGGATCTCAAATTTGTACGTTGAGTTTACTTTGATCGCTCTGTGAACGTTTTCCCAAAGTTTTCTGGGATTTTTTTTTTCCAAAATATTTTTTTTTTTTTTGGCGTATATATTATTAATAGTTTTCCATAAATAATTTATACCAGTTTCCAAAATTTTTAATGTAATTTTCTCCCAATCTTTCTGCATGGTTCTAAATTATTTATTTTTTTACAATCGCATCGAGGGAATTAAAATTAAAATTGTGATCAGCAAAATCTCTACTTGCTTCTCCACGTCATTCGATAATTGACTTTTGGGCTTAACGCAATAGACAATAGCAGGGAAAAAAAAACGAACAAAAAACAAACGAATAGCCTCTGTCAAAAACTTTAGATGCGTGGGTAGTTGGATTATGAATTGTGAATTCAATAACCAGCTCTGTAATAGAAATAAGCTTGAATATAAATACCTCGTGGAAATAAATATGAGTAATCGTGTTCTCTGTTCGTTGCGATGGTTATCTTCTGAAGGTTCACTCTAGCGGAAAGCGCTTAAACTAACCATGAAAATCATCAAATAATCGACCTGCCTGCCCACTTCCGGATGGCTATGTTATTTTCGTTATTTTTAGCCAGATGTGCTATGTGCTGGCCATCATCGTTATCGTCGAATATACATATATGATCGTTGCGATCGGCCAGATTAAGCAGCAAGTAGATATGGCCGTAGGTTAGCATAATTACCGCACACATTTCGCGTTTGGGTGAGCACCAGAAGTTAGGAAAGGCAATCATCACTTATAGGGGGTATCACAAAGGCATATTAATTAGGTAAACAAAAATATAGATAACTCCTTCTGCCAAACTTAACTTCATCTTTTTTTATTTCGGTGGCGTTGACAAGACTACACATACACATAAATACACACATACATACACACATACACCAATAAACTCAGACACATTTTGGAATTCCGGGTTTGATCGTCAGACCGAAGTAAACAAATTTCCCGTCTCATCGTTCTACCACGTCCTCGTCCCTTTCCATTCAGTGGTTCCATGCCAAAATCGAGATGTCTGCCATCCTGCTGTACGGAATTTGTCTGGGCCTATCCATCCTGCTCCTGCTCGTGGGCGCCATCCTGGGTCCTCTGAAGCGACTGATTTTGACCAGGTAAGACCTCTCCTCTCTCTGTAAACCAGGTGAAACGAGGCTCACTCTGTTCGATTCGTCTGGCCCCCAGGAGCGGTCACAACCAAATGGCGTTGGTGCCGGCGGCTTCTAGTGCCGTGCAGAGGGCGTCCTACGACCCGTTGGAGCAATCTTCGTGGCACAAGTCGATTCGGGACCACATCCGCCACTTGGCTCGCTACGTTCACGTGCCACCTGATTTGGAGGAGGCCGGCATGCCCGAGGAGCTCCGCCGGCATATGCAGGTCCTTGTCATGCTGCAGGATCACTTCCGCACTGGCCATTTGCAAAGGACCTCCTCCGTCAGACCCGCGTCTGTGTCCAATCTTGACCAGAACCATTAAAATAAATAAAGGGAAAAAGCGGCCATCAGAGCGGGAGTTTGAAAAGAAAAGCAGCTGCCAATGCCAATTCGGATCACATTCGAGCCAATCAGCCCCCAATTAAATTCTATTCTTCATCTCCACCCAACGAGGAGTAATAATTTTCTGTCGGGCTATGGTTTCGGCGTCCCTAATGATGTTTTAATTGCTGTGGCCGTTTCATTTCCCTGCGAACTAACACTAATCTCAGGAAGGAAATGGGAATAGAATCGGGCAGGACGTCGCATGACAAAGAGGCATTAAGTGCCAAGACAGAACTTTTTTATTTTATTGTTGAACTAGTAAACACCCTGAAAAAATATGTTAAGGTTGATAATATTCAAATTGTAGGTACTTAAGTTCATATTTTAAGTGCAAACTATTTGGCTAGCAGAGCCAATGTTCGAGGTTCGAGGTTGTCTACCATGGAGGTCAACAAGTAGTTGAAAACCGCTTGGTGCGCTTCCCAATAACCGAGAGACCCCAAACATCTAAAGGTATTCCGGCGGCAGTTTGGTTAAGTCCCCGTGCCGTTTAAGGACGAAGGACTCGCCAGGGAGCTGCTCAAGAAGCCAGTGTCGCAAGCAGGAAACAGGAGGATTGACGTGTAACTGTTTGTCACACAAAATTAGCGTCGGGCGTCGAGTGCCGAGTGTCGGCAACATCATTTATCAATGTATCAATTGTAAGGGGACAGGCGACAATGAAAACAAAGCCACTTCAGTCAACGAAGTGAAAGGGGATGGTTTGGGGAAAAGGACAAGGGAAATCGAGAAAAGCGAACAGAAAACAGAAAAGCCAAAATAGGGGAAAAATTCAGCTAAGACGAGGGTTGACAATTGGCAATAGGAATTGGAATCGAAAACATGTTCCATGTTGATGTGGAGCTTCCCAAATTTGTCGAGATTCATGAATATGAATTTAGAAGAAAGTTTTCAAACATATTATTTCTTTAGTAGCAAATATTATTGTAAAAGTTTGTAAGAAAGTTAAAGTATTAATCTTAAAAATTTTGTTGAAAAATAAAATCATTTTCCCGATTTTGGAATCAATTTTATTTATTTTTAAAATGTAATTTCCATGGCCATTTACAAAAAACCTTTTGCCGCGAGCCAAATGCCCACAATTCATTGCCAGAGCTTCATAAATCTGTCATAACCGGAGCCACCAAAGTCAAGTGATCACTTTTCAGTTCTACTCGCTCTAAGGCCATCTCCCCCACCTCGTTCAACTGACATTTCAATGATATTTTATCACACTTCACTTTTCTGTTTTTAATTTTACTGGTCGCACATGCGGTGCCCTGAATATTTGACAAGTATTTTTATTATTTTTCGGTCACTGTAAATATTTCATTCTCCACATTACCGTAGTTATTAATATCTGCATTATTATTATTTTCGTTATTTTTATTTTCATCACCGTTGAAGTTTATTAAACGTTGCCCTTCGGTTATTGACTAAATGTCCGAATGCCTGAGTGAACGACTGAATAAGTAAATGGTTGAAATTCATTGCTTGGTTTTTGATTTGTGATGAAGCAGGGTGAGTTAATATTTACCTATAGTTTGGCAACTGAAGGTCGTTTTTTTGACCTGGTTAAAAATGACCTGCCCTATTATGTTTTATATTGTACAGACATATTTAATCTACATCTAAATATTTTCCATTGACATAGTTGTTGATGTCTGATTGTCGAAGTTACAATCTTACAATAAGCAATATAATTTTCACCTTTTTTATATTTTATTGAGTTTCTCTCGTACACTCGTATCCTTGATTTTCAATCGCTTTTTTACTTATCGATAGACAATCAATCGATTGCAAAACTGCTACGTCCCATAATTTCAACACTTATCGATGGCGACATCCGTTGAGCAAGGCTAAACAAAAACGAAACAAATCTCGTAAAATTCCACTTGACACTTGTCCCCATCGAGTGTCATGTTGTCTCCTTCGCCTACATCCTCGCCTGCCACCTCTCCCTCGGCGGACCCCGGACTTTCTGGGGTCCCATTCCCATGGTGCGTTTGACGTTTGCTGCTGACATGTCAGCAAAATTTTAACTGGCAATTTGCAGCAGAGCTCGCGAACAGGGCTCCCGCCCTGTTATCCTCGCCCGGTTTTCCTCGGTTTCCCCTTGGCTTACCCCATACATTTTCTCGCACGTAGCAAAGTCCAACATGGGGGCAGGGGTGAATATTGAAGGGGGAATGGCAAACAGACAGTCGGACTCCTCGCCGTCCCCTCGACAATTTCCCAGAGCGTGTCTGTCGGTCTCCATCTTTTCCCGCTTTTCCCCCTTTTCCCACTTTTCCCCTTTCTCCCCAATCCTCCCATCCAGCCGCAACAAACATGGCACAATATGTTGCTATGTCTGCCTGTCTGAGCCCTGCCTATATAGCCCTTCTATAGGCACCACTTGAGTTTTGCGTTCTTTTGTTCGTTGGGTGGGACAGTTCTGTTGTTTTAGCTTCACCGTTGCTTCTCGCAGCGAGCGATTTTGGTAATGGTGTCAAAATAATTTGGATTGTCATTGTTTTGCTGCCACGCCATTTCTGAAGCTTATATGCCGCCCCTTAAGGTGAAAAAATAAAGGCGGGGGGAAAAAGTGTAAATCGCTCAAGCGTCAGTTTCAAAAAATTTTAAACAAATCTAAAGGAAAATCAATTATTTAATTTAATTATTTTCAAATTATTTTTTTTATAATATTTTTTTTCCAACTTTTAAGAACCGAAAAAAGTTCGGATTTATGAGATAATGGCTACCCAAAGGGACTTTTCCTTTGTTTGGCTTGAATTTATTTCGGCTTGCGATCAATAGTTATTTCATAAATCATTGCTTTTCCTCATTCACATTGAAGTGATTGATTTAGAGTGAAACCAGGAACAGGAGCATGAATCGCTTAAATGCCACTTCCCACGCATATAAAATACAGAATACAGAAATGACAGAAGGACAAATACCTAAGCAGCTAAAGGCTCACTCCCTAAACGGCTACGAACCCCTCTTGCCATCATCATTTTGCCTTTGCTTGTTTGCTAATAGCTTGTTAACCATTTCAAAAACAATTTTCTTACTTACATATCTCAGCAAGAGCAACAACAACGACACAATGGCTTATAAACAACAACATTAGACAGCAACATGTGTAGCCCATAACTTCCCACTGCCCGGCTCCATTTCCCCCATTTTCCCCCATCATGCCCGCCCCTTTTTCATGTCCTTTTCCTGCTCTGTCATAATTCAAGGCAAAGAACAAAAACGAAAAGCAGAAAAACTGAAAAACAAAAGGCACCAGGGACGGAGTGAAAGAATGGATAGGCAAGACATGGTTGCGTTGGGTGGAAAAATCCGGGAAAAGCGGGACACAGCACACACAGCACATATTGACAGCTTCTGCCATTAATTTAACAGGTAACAAGCAACAGCCCAATCCCTAAACTGAACCTAAGCAAAAACTTCTGTTTACTTGCTTCCAATACCGAGTTTTGTTTTGAGAAAAGTTTGCCAGCTGAATATCATTCATACGCCATGTTGGACTGGCAGGTAAAATACTGGTAAAAAAACAGATGATCGATGGACCTTTCTTTATCTTACTAAGAGTAAAATTAATGCAAGCATCAAGGAACAATGGTGACTATATCATATACGTTACTGATAAGAGTAAAAACAAAAAAATTCTTTAAAAACTTATAATATTTACAATACTTTTACAGATTTTCTCTATCAAAGATTGTCGTTTAAATTTTGATTATAAATAATAATACTGCTTTCATAATCTGTAGCTGCTTAAATTCTCTGGCACTCCCTATCTTGTTTTTGCCTTGGCTAACTTCGGTTTTTGTCAGCTTGTAGCTAATGTATCATGACAATGGAATGGAAGGGTTGTTCCTCCCCTTTCCTTAGTTTGGTTTTTTTTTTAATCCTCCTGTTGTTGTTGCGGCTGGAAAAGCCTGCCTGCCTTTGCTCCCCCTTTTACTTTTTTCTGCACAAAACTTTGTCGCAAGTTCGCCCGAGCCTTTGTCGCCTTTTGTGTGCCTTTTTCAACCCTTTTTTATATAACGCATCCGGTGCTGAAATACTTCCCCCGCATGTGTTAGGGGCAAATTAAAATTCACTTAACAACATTCCACTTTAGTTTCTAATTTGAAATTTCATTCAGCAGCAACTGCACTTCCTATTTGGCCGACCTCGTTTTTTATTTAAATGCCAAAAATCCTCTTTAAGAATTTATGAGCCGAGCCACAAAAGCCGCAGACACCGCTCATGAAATTTGCATCCTATGGGTGGGCCCCACCCAGAAATGTGTTTACGGAGGGATGTTGGGGGATTCCAAAGGGGTTCCAAAGGGGGTTTACCGAGCGGGTTGTCAATAATAAATAAGCAATGCGGTAGACAAAAAGCATTCAGTACAAAAGACGAACACTGGAATGCCCTGAAAGCAGAAAACATTAATTTGGTGAAGGATATTTTTGCATCCATATTGTTTGTGTGCAACTTTAAGTACTTATATAGAAGCAATAATAATAATTTATTTATTTGGTTTGTTAAACCAACTGCAACTTGAACAGCCTAAAACGGCATTTACCCTTTTTTCCACTCAAAGTAAGTGTATGCGAGCAATGCACAAAAAATTCCCAGAGTCCATGTCTGGCTCTTCATATTTCCTTGTCCTCTGGGGGGCGTCTTAAAAGCTTCTGTTCTGTTCAGTTCTGTTCTGTTCGGTTTCTCCTCCACTCTGGGCACTTGCTTTAACCACCTCCGAACACGGAAAAAGAAAACCCCTTTGGCAAGAGAAGGAGTCTTGCTCAATTGGAATCAATTAAAAATCAATCAACTCAAATGTAGTGAAAAACAATTTTTAATTGAAAAGCAGGAATCGAAGGTGAGAAGAGGTAGATGGTGGTTGGTGGTGCTGGAATCCGGGACTCTGTAGTGGACCTGGCGGTCGCCTGAGTGCTCAATCCCGAACTTCGAGTGGCTCCACTTGAAAAGGACACCACACACATTGCTGGATTGCTGGAGAGCAAAGTGCATTAATATTTTATGAAGATAAATAAGGATAAAAACTTCAAACGACGACGAAAAGTAGTCGGTGCTTGAAACGGGCCAGCAGGCCACTAGGAGAAGTGGGTTAAAATGCGAACCACTGGGCGTATGTGTAATGGGATTTGGCATTTGCATTTGCATTGCCATTCGATTGAACTAGAAATCAAAGAGTCGCTGCTCGCCGCACCACTTTGATTGCCGATGTGCAGAACTTTTCCTACCATATGCTAAAAAATAGTGGGCCAAATCGGATGGGAATGAAGTCTTTTCTATTTGGAGCACGGACAACTAGCTAATGTTGTCTGCGGATAAGTTTAAGCACAAAAAAATGTTGAACACCCAGTAGTGGAAGGTTTAAAGCTGTGTATACATCTTTCTTCACCACTGCCAGTTAGTAGGATGTATTGAATACGTCCAAATGAAATTAATTTGATTAGCGACAGACAAGCTTACTGGAAATAAGATCTTCTGTACCATTAATTACATATGAATTCCACATAAGTTGAGAGGTATTCGAACGGTCGTCACTCTTATATCACGACTTCTTTTAATAAACTTTACCCATTGCATGCAATATAAGCAAAATACTCCAACAAACAACAAACAACTCGAAACGAAAAAAATGCGAAACTCATTTCAAAGCTATTAGGCGGGGAAGGAAAAAAAGTCCAGCAAACAGAGAAAGGACTCTTCGAAGAAGCAGAGCAACGATAATACGAGGTGAACGAAATTAGAGGCGAACTTAGATGGCAGTTTAACTTAATTAGACAAGTCTTCAAGACGACCTCAGCTTTAAACTAATAACTAATCACTAAAAATGGCTGCAACTAGAAAATTCATTTGAATGGATTACATGGATAACTTCATTTCTGTTATGATAACACCTCTCGTGAAGAGAAGGATTCTCCTCTTTGTTTTCCTCCATTAAATTTTTCCAATGCGTTGGAGAACCCTTTTTTAGACCCAGTGGCAGACTGAGGAAGGCCACTCAGGGTAATGAAGGTCATTAGAAATGTACTCGGAGACTCACAAAAAGTGCTTAACTTGGACCGAAAGCAAAGCGAGTGAGAACTCTCTCTTTCGCACGCATATTTGCGGATCCCTCGCAGCACTTTCACCCAACCCCCTGTGTATTTTCCCCTCTGCCCTCTCCCCTTCCCTTCACAATTTTGTAGGCAGCTTTGGGTCATTAGGTGACGCCTGTCCATGGACACAAAACGTAATTAGTCGACGACGACGACGACGACGATGACATCGAAACATGTAAAGTGGAGCGCTCCACTGACCCAACAAACGATCCATGGCCTACTTCCCGCCCCCTCCTACCGCCTGCCCATCTTCTAGCTATTGATGAGAGGCAGAGTCTTGGCAAAAAGTTGGTAATTAGTATGTTTGTGCTGCCGTCAGACAGCGAGGTTGAAAGGGATGACCGTTGGTTGGGTCGCAGCTACAGGATCTCCCGACGGGTTAAGGGTCTCGGTGGCATTTGTAAATTAAGTTGACATCTTATGTTGAACTTGTTAAATTAGATCTTATCGTTATAATCAAGTCAACAGTGTCAACTGGCAGCGACTCTTGTTGTTTGTCTTTTAGCCGGGTGGGTGTCCTTGAACCCCCCAGTCATTTCTTCTTGCCAAACGGCGTAAGGTGAACAAGTCGTCGTCTCTTTGCTTAATTAAAATCTGCATTCGCGTTACAAAGTTCCAAAGCGCGAAATCTCCCCCGAAGTAGGCAAAAGTCCTTTAAGCTCATTAGGCTTGCCTTCGTTTAAAAATTTGCTTTGATGTTACAACAACTATTGTGATCTGCTCGGGCATTTCCCAACGGGATCTTTATCTCCATTGCTTCGCTTTCAGAGCCAATCAAGAAGTGCCACAATGTGACCAAAGCGCATTTCGTAGCTAAAGTTGCACATTTGCAACAGTAAATCGCATTGATTGTGGGGCTCCCTCCTGATCCACTTTGGTCACCGAAGTGTTAACAATGAAATCGAAGCTTTGCTTCAAAGTACGTATGCATGAAAAATCGAGGAATAAGAGTTTTTTCTGCCATTCGAAATGCCGAAAGGAAACTCAAGGAGCTGCAGTACGGAATCCCTTTTCAATTCCCACAAAGAAACAACATATTTTCCACACACAGGGACGGTTCTCCGCATTGTGTGTTTAGTGGTGCCAAATCGAAAATATTAAATGAATATTGATTGTAATTTCACTCATTTAGTTTCGGGGAATCTGGCATCTATATAATCGGAGTACGGCCGGGTAAAAATTCTTAGAGTTCCTTTACTGTTGAATTTACTTTTACTTATTTTTCTTATCGGTAAAGAGCTTTTAAGAAAGAGATGTATCTCCTTGTATCCTGTCGCCACCGCTGTGACTTCACTTGCAGTTCAAGTTTGGTTTTCCGCATTTTGTTTTACTTTTGGTCAGTCATAAATTTGCGTCCGGCGTGAGTTCGACAGCGAACCAAAGGGGCAGGCAGAAACTTTTTGCAGAGAGTATTAGTGGGCAGTACTAAAGGACAACTAAAAATGTTTGGAACCTGTTTTAGTGGAATGGAAACTTCCCGGGCACTTGCACTTGCAACTCCTCGGTGAGTTTCGCTTTCTTGAAACCCTCTGCCTGCCACCTGCTTGCTTGTTCCTCCTTTTTGTGCCAAAAGTTTCCACTCGGAATTCCCCTATTTTAAGTTCTTAACCCCTTTCACCATCTCGTACTTAAAAAAAATGTTGTTTTTTTAGTTACGCCGATTGGCAAGAGGAACAAAATAATTTCATTCAAGTTTTTGGTGTCATTCCAGTTGTCGACAGCCGAAAAAATTAAAAGGGTTCCACTTTTGAATGAAAGTGAGGATTTACTAATATTGAGAAATTTGTTGATAGAAGCGAAAAAGATAAAATGGTTTATTCTCGGTCCAATTTTTGAGAGTTACATTTTAATTTGAATTCCAGGCTTCATTTCGGCTTACAATGGCGAGTTAAAAAAGCAAACATGGTTTGGAAAAAGATGTGCCCTTACTTCCAGTGCAATCCATCAATTAACTGGCTTCTGGGCCTTTTCTCTTTTTTTTTTTTATAACCAAACCGCTGTCGCTTTCTGCACAAAAGGAGAAACATCAATATGGATTGAAGAATGAGAAAAATGCCATGCATTGAATTCAAAGCCACAAAACCCAGCAAGGAAACTTTTAATGACGCCACGAACAGAAGGAACAAGATCCCTTTTTGTATAAAGCAAAAACCCTCTGGGAAACCTCGTATTTCTGTACGATGTATACCAGTTTGTGAGCAGATAAAAAGCTCAATATCGAATTGATATTTGTAGATAAAAAAAAAACCAAGATTTTTGTTATCTCTTATATGGATGTAAGAATGTATAATGTATAAGAACGAACTCCATCCCGTTTATTATACTTTTGAACTTACGTATCTATAAAACCTGACAGGTTATATTAATAGTTTTGCAGTGTGTTTTTTTTTCAGGACTTTCACAGCGCAACATGCAAATCGTTGTCATATTGTGTGACGTCCTCCCGAATTGGTTACAGAAATCCCCTCTTTTCAACCGGGACGCATGCATTTTGCGGTGTTTTTGTGTATATTAATGCGGTTGGCAAAGTAGCTTTTAATTAGCATGTTGTCTGCGGCCGCCATTGCCCCATTATTCCAGTCCCCCAACACCTGAAATAGTGGTGTCTTGTTTTTGGAGCTTTTCAATGGTTTCGCCAGGTGGCAGAGAAATGGCGTGAGTCAAGGGTTTTCCCGGCCTTTCTGATTAGCGAAATTTGCGAAAGTAATTTCGCGGGGAGTGGCTACAAAAAGGGATGGAAAATTATAGGGGGGCTCAGCAGAAAGGCTTAGAACTCGGCAGTCACTGCAAATAAGCTGCGATACACAGAGAGATTTTATACCCCGCAGATGCTTTGCAATCCTCAAACTGTTAAGGGGATTAAGCGATTCGGTTTCGTGAAGAACCGAAGGGGTTCCGGGATGATGATTGGCCCACAAAAGTTCTGTGGTTTTCCAACAAGTCTCATATTGATTCGCTAAACCCTCAGCTCGATGGCACATATAGTTATTTCACTTTCATCAAACAGAGAGCGAAGTAATGAAAAACAAAGGGAATGCATTCAAAATAGCAAAATTCGCTCACAGGTTTTGTGATTTATTTTTATAATAATACTTAGTATCTTTACAGCTTTTGTTCTCCTACAGCAATCTAAAGTATAGTGGCCTTAATAACATCTATAACTTTGGGTCTTTCCCCTCGCCTCCTCCATTTTCCCAGTTCTCCCCTTGGCTTGATGGAAGTTTGAGGTTTCACGCTAATTAGATGGCACGCAGGCGCATGGCACAAAACACTGATGAAGGCGAAAAAAATGTTTGAAAACGGGGAAAAGGTGAACGAGAAGCAAGTACAGAGTACAGGGAGTTGCAATTGCGGCTATGATTATTAGGCATAAAGTGTTGAGGTTGCTGCTGCTGTGTTTTTGTTGACTTGGCCCAGGCCTAAGTAACACGATTTTTCTTCATTATTATTTCTTGGCACGCGATGTGACAAGTTAGACAAGTTATTGTTTATGTTTGAGTGCACAGCGAAAAAAAAGCTAGACAGTTCGGAATCGCCAAGAACAAATATAAACCTTAACGTCTCTGTCTACGTAAATTATTTGTATCTGTTATTCATAAAAATTATAATTTATACTAGGGAAATAAAAAAAAAACTGAAAATTTGCCACACAATGCAAAGTGAATTATTTCAACTGCATTTTTAAAAATTGTTTTTTGTGCTGCTATATACATAGCTATAGATGCTTTTGTTTTTGCTGGACTTTGAGCTAGTCAAGCAAGCTGTCGCCATCGCCTTTAGATGTCGTGTTATGCAATTTACATCAAGTGTTGTTTTGTTGGGAGAGCTTTCTACCAGACCACCCCCTTCGATGTATAACAATGTGTGTGTATATAGATTTAGAAATTATTGTTGATGGCTTACTTGCAATTAGCGAGAGGTCCGTTGCCGTTGTTGGTTTAACTGCTTGAAATGAAGTCGATTATATATCGTCGATTCTCTTTCTAACGATCTGAAAAGCAAACAAACAAACCGAGAAACAAAAATGTATTGCTGCTGAAGCTCAATTATCGTTTATTAATCCATTCATCGTTAAAAGGTCGCAATCAATAAATCAATGTTGCTCCATTTACCGATCGCGTATGTATACTTTCCAATAAGAGCTTATAGGTTAGTTGGTTCAGTGGAAACCTTATCACAATAATCAATGACTCAACTACAATCTTACGATAAAATGTATAAATATATATAAGTGTATCCCAGCTAAAGACTGCATATCTAACTATTATAAACTATCAACTATTAATCTTCTACCTTATCCATACTTTTCCAAATACCTTTAAATTGCATTTTAATCATAAAATGATTTAGTAATAACTTTGTCTTACCGAAAATGTAATAAAAAAAACAAAACCTGCGACTGGCGATAAGAATGTCTGTATAACTACTTTTACCAATGTAGCAACTTGCACTACTTATCAGGAAGCCCAACGGAAGATATGGATTAGATAAGAAGTCTAAGCTAATTTTCTTATCTGTTTTTGTGTGCCGCACTTGGATTTTTCCACAAGGCTATATGAATCGAGAAAATAACCGAACATAGTATGCACAAATAAAGTTTTTTATTTAAATCTCTAGGAAAGAGGTTCCCACGAATTTTAAAGGGTAATAGTCTCCTGATGTTTGGGCTAAGGCAGAGTAATCTGCAAGCTTATCTTCCGCCATTTCACGATTACAAATCTTATCAAAAGGTTCTACTGTCTCTTGGTGCGTCACGTGGAAAAAATAAATAAATAAGAAAAGTAAGAAAAATCAAAAACCTCAAGCGCATAGCGAATGAGCGACCGAAAAAAAAAAAAATAAAAAAACACATATATGGTATATATAGTAGAAGAGTGGGGAGTGGGCAGACATTACATTTTCTGCTCCAAATACGCTTCTCACAAATTTCACACACACATGCACACACACCGGGGAGAGACTTTTCATTTTACTTTGGCTACACGCGTCGTATGCGCAATGTTTCCATATGTATGAGTTGGCCCAGTCAGTCAGTCAGTCATTCAGTCAAGTGAGCCGCGGATTTTTGTTTATTATGTTTAAAAAAGTGAAAATTGCATTTTGCAATTTGCTGCTTTTGTTTTTTCTGCCACCGCTGCCCGCGCCATTGTTTATAAATCTTTTTGGTGTTTCTAATGAAGCTGAAAATAATTTTAATAATTTGTGGCAAGTGGGCGGCCGAGGGACAAGCCCTCTGGGAATGTACACAAAGTTGGAAGGCTTCCTATTTGGAAATTATATACTATATCGAGTGATGTGGGAGTTGTTTTTGGGGATTGATAGGATAAAACATGAAGGACTTGAATCCCCTGAAACCAACAATTCCTAAAAAGGAGCACATGTACTTATATTTTTAAAATGTTTTCGCTTATAAAATAACATCCGCTTGAATTTGTTTTGATAACTCCAAGGGTATATCAGCTTCGGCTCGCCAAAGCTAGCTTCCCTTACTGTTTTCATTCAATTATATTTTGTGCAATGTCATTTCTTGGAAACCATTGTTATAAAACATGACATTAAAATCGGCCGAAATCGGCAAAAATTTCAATCCGCCCCCGAGGGCATCTCAAATATACATACAGTGCTGAAAAAGAAAAGTTTAGCGTTAATTTCGAATGTTTTTACGCGATTATCGAGCATTAAATGTTCGTTTGAGTTGCCCGCATTGTTGTTGGTGCTTGTTGGTTTGCGGTTGGCATTTGAAAATGTATTTTCAGTGTTGTCGATTATTTGGGAAACGGTTGAAAGCGATGACATCTAATCAATTTGCGCCGCCCATCCCGTTTCCCAGCGCTTCTCATGGTTCGCTGCATTTGCTCGACGGCAGCAGTTTTAATTAAGTGTTTAATTAATGATGAGGCTTTTCAAATGAAAAAGGGGGTGGGCGACGGCAATTGAAACTGCAATTGCCATCAAAATAGGAAAACGACATTGGATTGGGTGGGCAGACGACGAGCTGCAACATGAGTTGGCACTTTAAGGCACAAGAAAGCCAAAGGCTCCAAAATGAGGTGTGATGGAAAAGGATTCAAAAAAAATACCTATATAAAAATAGGTCATCAGACAATGTCTTGTCCTAAAGTACTTACAGCTGACAATGTTAGCAATGTAATTTATAAATCTAATTCTATATTCCTGTCTTTAAATTTATTAAACGGAGGCAGTGAATCGGTTGGTCCGCAACCTCTTGTTTAAATTTCCTCGAGTGGGTTTAAAAAAAAAACACCGATTTCCGTCGAAAACCCAACGAAAAAAACTGAAACGCAATCGCAGGCTATTTATCCTTAGTCCTTTTATCAAGAAGGTGGGTAAGGGGAAAGGGAAAGGCCTGACCTTGCCCTAGGGTTTCTACTCCCCACCCACCCACGTGTATTTATGTACCCAGACATTTCAAGGCAACTGCATTCTCAATAAAAATTTACTTTGCGAGGTGCTGATTTTCCCTTCCTGTCAAACATTTATTTATTATGGTCAATATTTCTTTATTTGCCAAAGCGATTTCTTTTCAGATTTTGCGTGGCCCAAAAGATGGATGTTTTCACATAATGGATCTTGGCGTTCTGGACGAATAAGCGACCTGCAATAGAAAACTTGGAGTGGGAAAACAAAAGTGTTTTCGAGCTCAAGATGTAAATGGGTAAGGCACAGACTTGAACATGTTTTTTCTTTGCCTTTTGGTAACTTATGATAAAGTCCATGGTTTATACCCTTCCAACTGGAGGTAAATAAGAACGGTTCCAGTGGAGTTTTCACGAGTAGGCAGCGAGTCAATTAGCTTCAGGTTTTCTATGCACGTTTAGGGAGCCCGACTAGAGAACCAGTTCGAGCAACGGAAACCTAACCTAATAGATGCCAATACTCCCCATCTGAAAACAGGTTTTTTTTCGTGGGCGTGACAAACAAATGACCAACGCGGACCAACGTTTTCAACGCGATTTATCATGGCCAGACTTCACAAATCCCTCAAATCTCGTATCGCAAATCCAGCCAGAAGTCTCAATCCGTAAAATGCCGAGTCCCAGCTGATTCGAGTGCCACATTCGTTGACAAAAGTGTTCAAATGCAAATTATTTATAAGCAGGGCAAATAAACAGCTTGGTTTTGCCCGGCAAAAAATCCAAATGAATGTTAAGAACGTGGTTGCACGGGGAAAAACTACTTTCGGTTTTATTCCCAACTGTTTTTTTTTTTTAACAAATTATGAATTATGACAGTAATTCGTGGAATACACAGGGAATATTCGATAGATTTTTGTCTGTGTAGGATTGCTATCCAATTCCCCTTGTTGACCGTAGTTGACCAAAAACCAAAAACCGGAGACCCAACCGCAGCAGACGGACCATTTTGATTTTGATGCCGAGTCTCAATCCATTCGCTTGACGCCTGTGGTTGAACCCCTTTCCTTACTGATAAGCCGCTTAACTGTTTGTGCTTTACAAATATGTTAAGGGCCGGCGGAATGAGTGGGTGGCATACCCAAATCCTACATGAGGCAATATGCAATCAAAAGCACTTTAAAGGCCGTTGTCTTGTTCTAATAACAAATAAGAAAGTCATCAAATGTGTCGAACGAACTAAGAAAATGCGAAACAACATGGAAGCCATGTCGATACAAAATATACCTCCAATAAAAGATCGTTTTTGCACTTTTGGTTTTCCACATTAGCTGGTTTCCGAGACGAAGTTGAAACCCCCAGCGAAAATTGCATTTCCTTTCTGCTAACCCTCGGCACCTATCCCCATATCATGTCCTCCTCTTTTCCCCTAAAAAATAAAGGTGGGAGGGCTTGTCACTTTTGACATTTCTCGCCGAGCCTTTGCCGCTCTGCCCCGCGGGGAGCTACCCAAAAACGTGCTCCCAAATTGGAGGGGAGTGCTGCTGGTGGAAAACAGGGTGGGGGGGATCGAAGAGTGCGGTTAGGCCAAAAGTCTGCCGTCTTTGTCTTGCAGCCGTTGCCAAAGGAGCCAAGAATAAAGCGGATGTCAAATTGGGGAAACTGCGCCTGTTGCGGTTCAAATTTGTTGTTTACATTTTCCATTTTGGCCAAAATTCGAACTGACATTTGGCTGCTTTCAATTGAGGATTCAAATTAATCGTTTTTGGGGATCGGGGATTGGGGATTGACAAATGGAAAAACGCAACTCCCTCCCGCCACTTTGTTATTTTTGCATTTAAAAGTAAAAGTTTTTCGATATTGTTCACTTTTTATGGCTGCGAAATCTTTATAGATATCCAACAAGCGAGGCTTTTGAGAGGAAGATGGAAATAGACATGAAAATAAAGTCTTGCCTTGTGCAACTCTCCCCCTTCTGGCCTCAAGATATGGCGAGCAGATAAACGAAGCGCAAAAGAAGCGAACTGAAACGAAGTCATCGCTTTCGTGTCTGAAAAATTAGAGCTCAGCCCGAGATGAATTTCCACATCTTAGCTAAAAATATATATATGGTATGTATCAACAAAATTATTTAAGCCCAGCGTCGTATAAATTATGGCAAATAAGTAAAAGTGCCACAGTTTAAATTTACGACTAGTAGATACCCAGCAATTTTTCATCTTTTCTAACGCTCATAATATTTGTTTGGGTTTCTCATTCATCGGGAAGACCTTAAATATATATTTCTTTTTCAAGACATTTGAATTCAATTTAATAAAGCACTCAGACCTTTTACTACATGTTAAAAGATTTTCAAGTTTTCCATATTTTTTGGTCGGGGAAACAAAAACGAAATTGGTTTATGGGTCGCTGACCATTGGCCCCCAGGCCATGTGTATATGCATTTATATGTTGCAATTGAGCCAGGGCAAATGGCAAATAAAAGCCAACTCATTTCGGGCCCAGCTTAGACCGAACACTCAACTTGGCAAACAAACATTCGGATCATGTTCGGGCCAGATTTGCTCATATACGTATCAGTTGGTTGACTCGGGTCAGCGTTGTCTAATTAAGTAAT